AAAATGCACTCCTTTGTCGTGAACTCTTTACCTATGTACTATTAACAAACTATGAACTAAGCACGAGATCTTGAGAGACACATGTCCCTTAAAATTATTTGGGCTGGCAGAGCTAGTGTCTTCATGTATGACACCATGATCAATGCATACCCACCCAAAATGCCCACATACAAATTAATCGACTAGAAAAACTTTAAATTAAAAAACTAACCATTCTCATACTAACATGGGAATTGATTCTTCACAAAACAAAATACATTTACTCAAATACTCTTGATTGATTCATGTCCTCATTCGCCAAATGGAAATTATGTAAATCATAGTTATACCATTACTTCATTAATAAGGTTTTCATACTCCTTTCAGTTCATTTTACAAATAAATGAACACCTCCTCAAGATACATCTCACGAAGTATTTTATATATAGCTTAATAGCAAAATACTGACAACCATACATATTTTATATATATATATATAAAATCTTCCTTGGCTAAGTGTTACAGGGCTAGATTCAAATCTCATGGGCATCACATCGTTTCTTTCACAAGTGATTTTTCCATAAGTCTCTGGAGAAAGTCACTATTACTAAAACACCGAGGTTTCTTGTTGTGACTCCAGGAATACAAAATATGCAGATAAATATTTATATCGAGCAATGTTTTATATTCTGTGCCGACCAAAAGTGAAAATATATATAACCAGAAAAATGATCTATTCCAAGCTTACTTTCACCGTTCTGGAGACGACTGTAATTATCAGGCCAATAAGAAAGATCTGTTCACGGCTGTCAATCACTTACCAGGTTATACATATATTACTGCTACATATTCTGCAAAATTACACTAACAATGTAACTTGAGGTGGGGAGCTAAAAAAAAAAAAGTATATATTGTTGCTACTTATTTTTCATCTTGCTATAATATAAAAATACATATGCACAAAACAAAGCTTCGCAAGCAAGTAACACAATTGATAATTATTTAAATGAAACGCTCGCACTCACATATACATGTATACACATACTTGTAGAACAAAAGACTTTGTGGCAATTGAATCTTAAGCTATTTTTTCCTGAGTAATTGTATATAAATTTGAAAGACAAAATAAAGTAAAATAAATTCAGATTTGTCAAGTCACATGTTAACTAAGTTGATATAAAATTATTTACATGCCTTCTCAAAGAGAAAGTTAAACTAATGAGAAGATATCCAAAAATATTATGAAAATTCTTCTTATTGACATCTTCAAAATTTTAATGGCATCCTATGCAATGCTTTAAACTCCTCACTCAGCATATGTTTGTAAATGACACTGCAAGTAACATTACTGGGAAGAAAATTTAATAAACCAGCTACTTTTAATGCAATAGAGCAATGCTTCCAGACACCTAAATGCTCATCAACTGCCAGTTTCCAATTTTGCAGCCTGCTAGTATGCCATATACCTCCTTGGCAGCACAGGAATCAATGAATTATTACAGATGATGTACACACAGAACAAATTCTTAAAAAGAACTTTCAACAAATAATACCGACATGATAAAGTAAACATAACGGACACTTTCCTCTTGGCCATGAAAGAAAGTGAAGGTGAGCACAGCATCAGGAGTATAGTATGATCCATACGCACTTGATACATTCACTACCCCTCAGTATAAGGACACCAATACTATTATTATTCACAAACCACCCTATCACATTTTGTTTAGAATTTTTGGGTATGACACATAATAGCACAAAAATAAAGACAAATTCCATACTATCTAATTAGGTGATAATCAAATTCCAATGCATTATATAGTATAAGGAAATTCACAAATAAATAGTCTAACTACTGTATAAAGGATGAGCTGTTTCTTACATTATTCTTCTCTATCAACTTGAAGCAATATTTAATTTAACAACAAGTAAAAAAAAAAAAAGTATTATGGTAAACTTCAAACCAAGGACAGAGAAATGTTTGGTTTACAGGTGTGGATAACTTCAGCATTGGTGTGTAACTGCTATACACTGCTAAACTCTTACCTAACTTACTATATACGAGCATGATATCACTCTCATATTTGCTTTACATTCTTTGTAAACTACTGCATTATTTTTAACTAAGGCAAAAATTGCTACAGTATTTTGTAATCACCGAAACCTTAATTTTTTTTTATGAAAAAAATAAAATATTATATATTATTCCATATTTGAAATAATTCTTGTATTCTAGATTATGGTATCTTTGCTATTAATTCAAACACTGCCATTACTGTATTTAGTTCACACAAGTTACAGTTAACATCAGTCATGTCAGCCCATGATATCAGATACAAGCTGACAAGAGGAATGATTTGTTAAGTAATGTTCCTCATCTTTCCACATAATATACATGCTAGGAATAATAGTCTCAAACAAACTGATGTTATACCAATCACACATGGTACAGCTCTATGTGTATCCTCATTTATTCCGCTGAAAAAATATTTGTACCAAGAAATTCTCAAGGTAACAATTGTTGTATAGAACAAGGCTACAAACAAAGAGGTATTAGTTGCTTTATATTAGGGAGTGTGTTTATTTATATATATATTTATATATATATATATAAACTTGCCTAACGGGAAGAATGATCTTCATTATTTTCAAATATTTCTTTCTAAATTGGTTCTTTCCTAGCAATATTAATATATATTATATTAGGAACATGAATTACTGATACTGATTTAGGTTAGAAAAGGTTAGGTTCGTTAGGTTTCATAAAATTTGTTAGTTTTGACTATATATATTATTTTATAATATATATATATATATATATATATATATATATATATATATATATATATATATATATATATATATATATATATATATACACACACACACACATACATACATATATACATACAGTATATAAAAAAAAAACTGAATTACACTTTTCCAAATTTTTTATCATGGAATAATAAAAATTTCCACTATATTATACATGATTTTAATATTTTTTTATTTGGATGTAAAATCATGAAATTTGATCAAACGTTATCTAACCTTCCTACCCTATTTATTACCTAACAAACAATAATCCATGTGCTTAATATAATAACATTACCTGGAATAAACCAATTTAGAAAGAAATTCAGTATTTGAAAACAAAAATCACTCTGCCTGTTAGGCAAATTGGGCCTTGCATACTAAGCCAAGTAATTCATTTCTGGCTATGAGATACGACATACATACATACTGTATAAGCTCGGTTATCCAAAGCCGCCTGAATCAAATATTTGCGTTATCTGGCCCAAATCACATCTGGATAATTTTTTGGCAAAACTTTGCCAAATTTGGACAGAAATTTGGATAACCGAAGACTGGGATACGTAAATTTTTAAAAACTATACAGTATCTCGGTGGGCTTCTGGGAGTAGTTCTACTCCCCAAGCTTGGCCCGGGGCCAGGCTTAACTTCTGAAAGTTTGGCCCAACAGGCCCACATATCCACTGCAGCCCGGTTAGTCCGGCCATTTCTTAAAAGAAAACTATCTAGTTTTCTCTTAAGTATATCCACGTTTGTCCTGGCTATATTTCTTAGGCTCGCTTGCAGGATGTTGAACTGTGGACCTCTGATGTTAATGCAGTGTTCTCATTGTATCTATGGCACCTCTGTTCTTCACTGGCTCTATTCTTTGTTTCCTTCCTTTTCGTTCACTCCAGTATGTTGTTATTTTACTGTGTTAATTTGGGACCTGTTCCTCCCGTATTTTCCATATATATACATTATTTGATACTTCCCTCGTCTCCTTTCTACATTTCAAGATCTACTTTATCAAATAAGATGATGAACAACAATAAGGGAAGCTTAAGTTTCTGTTTTAAATTTTAATTTTCATTTATAGTATGTGAGGAAATTCAAATTATGTTGATTATAGAAAAAAAATTGTGAATATGGTCGTTTTTGGACTTCCCCGGTAAGAATTCTTCTAGTCCAGAATTATCCTCACCAGATAAACCAGAATTCTGGATTATCCAGTGAGAGGTCCTTCCCAAATAGTCCAGCTAAGTGAGGTTATACAGTGTGTATACACGTACATATGCATTTGTGTTATATATACTGTGTGTATATATATATATATATATATATATATATATATATATATATATATATATATATATATATATATATATATATATATATATATATATATATATATATATATATATGCTAGTTTCAGTCAAAGCTTATTTGAGTGATAATATTCATGTACAGGGATGTATATATAAAGCACACAGAACATTGCTAATTACACAAGTCATTATTATGTGCCATACCATTTCGTAACTAGTGTATCATCAGCCTCAAACAATTTTCAAATTGGCAATGCACAAACATCATATTATTTTGTATTATTAAACTGACAGTATTCCTACATACATTGAGAAATTAGGAAGCATTTTTTTTCAACTTCATGTTAATAATACAACATTTTCTAATGTATACTGGTCATAAATTAAAGCATCCCTGTGTATACTTCAACATCTGGGAATAAATTCCTTTAAAAATTAATACCACCCACCTATCAACCCTTAAAAACTTATCATCAATGGGCATGATAAAGCTGGCAATTCCATATTATAAAAAAATAAACTGTGGCCCTGTAACAATTTTGAGGTTTTTCCCATTTTGTATTAACAATGAATGCACTGAAAATGTCAAACGGAACTTATTTCAGCATTACATCCCTTAAAGTCAATCCTGCCAAAAAAGTCATTATTTTCCTCCAATGATTTTTAATTTGTTTAAAGTCTCTGTAGTGGAAGCAGTTTTCTAAAAAAAAAAAATGTAAGCTGTAGTAGTGTCACACACAAAAAACAAAAACAAAATTCATTATATTATTATATATAATATTATATATATATATATATATATATATATATATATATATATATATATATATATATATATATATATATAATAATAATAATAATAATGTGTGTGTGTGTGTGTGTGTGTGTGTGTGTGTGTGTGTGTGTGTGTGTGTGTGTGTGTGTGTGTGTGTGTGAGAGAGTGAATTATTTACAAATACACACACACACACCTGTTTCCAGTTTACTATGCTTCATTTGTATTATATGCATGCACAACTCCCTGCTCATGAAGAAGAAATAATCGTCTTTCGACGGCCTGCTTGTAGCGTGTGAGAAGATCACGGTCAGAGTCGTGTGCTACTTGCTGAGCCAGAGCATGAAGGAGGATTTGTGCAGTTTGGTATCGTCGGAAGCATTCCTCTGGTTTTCCAAAGAGTTCATCTAGTGCCGCACTCTGGCACTATGAAAGATATATAGAGATTAATATAATTGATCAAATAAACAAACTCAATATTTGTTATATATTTTAGTAATGAAAAATGGACAAAAATGTAATGTTAATAAATACTGGTGATTTTACCATTCCAAAGTCATAAACTCAAAGTTATATTTTCTTTAAATTTGAATATAATTTAAACCAAATTAATATTTCTAACAAACAGTTAAAATCTTAATGTTGAAAAACTATATCGAGAGTAGTAATACTTTTTCAAAACCATATTCAAAGTGGATTTAATTTCCTGTGGCCGAGATTGTCCTGATCTGGGTAAGTCAACACATCACACCCTGCTGACAGTTCTCTTGACAGTGGCAATACAATCCACTTGTTTCTTATATTTCATCTCACAAGATACACACAACTTTCGTCAATTTTTTTTTTTGGGGGGGGGGGGGGAATAAAGTTTAAAAATAAAAGGTCTTATTTTACTTTTTCCTAACAGGAGAATATATTACAAGTCTTTAAAACCCTATTGTGCTGATTATCTTGAGGTTATCTTTAAATGATTTCAGGGCTTAGCATCCCCATCCTCAGGACTATGAATCCCGAGCGCTGTCCACTCAGCAAGCTTCTTGAGGTTATCTTGAGATGATTTCGGGGCTTAGCGTCCCCGCAGCCCGGTCCTTGACCAGGCCTCGTTTTGTTACCCCCCCCAGGAAGCAGCCCGTAGCAGCTGTCTAATTCCCAGGTACCTATTTACTACTAGGTAACAGGGGCAACAGGGTGAAAGAAACATTTTGCCCATTTGACTCTGCCTCCACCGGGGATCGAACCCTACTTGATACCTGCTTGATGGGGTTCTGGGAGTTGTTCAACTCCCCAAGCCTGGCCCGAGGCCAGGCTTGACTTATGAGAGTTTGGTCCACTAGGCTGTTGCTTGGAGCGGCCCGCAGGCCCCCATACCCACCACGGCCCGGTTGGTCCTGCACTCCTTGGAGGAAACAATCTAGTTTCCTCTTGAAGATGTCCATGGTTGTTCCGGTAATATTTCTTATGCTCGCTGGGAGGACGTTGAACAACCACGGACCTCTGATGTGTATACAGTGTTCTCTGATTGTGTCTATGGCACCTCTGCTCTTCACTGGTTCTATTCTGCATTTTCTTCCAAATCATTCACTCCAGTATGTTGTTATTTTACTGTGTAGATTTGGGACCTGTCCCTCCAGTATTTTCCATGTGTACGTATATTATTTGGTATCTCTCGTCTCCTTTCTAGTGAGTACACTTGGAGAGCTTTGAGACGATCTCAATAATTTAGGTGCTTTATCATGTCTATGCGTGCCGTATATGTTCTCTGTATTCCCTCTATTTCAAGGGTAATTTTGAAATTCCCTTTATTTCCTTCTACCCGGAACCTCAGGACTACGAATCCGAAGCGCTGTCCACCCAGCTGTCTGTCAGGCCCCATGCTGTGTACAGTTTAATTGTTTCGAGTTATTGTCCGCTTTTCTGCATATAATTTTCTCAACAGGAATCAATGTTTAGAAATGCACAAATACAACTACATTATATTCATTAACTTGATTCTGTTAAGACAGTAAACAGGTCTGGCATCTATTAATGTTCAGGATTACAATAAATGTGTGTTTATGGAGGGATCATCATGATTTGTTTACAAGCACTGGGCCAATCTCTTGTTTCATTGATACCCTTTACATTGAAACAGTATGACAGGGACACTTTAGAAGCTACCCTCCAAACCAGAGCATCAAAAATTTCCTGTGTGTTTGATAGGCATTCAAAAGTCATCAGAAGCCTAATTGTTACTAGTGGCTTTAATGAATTGGTGTCTTTAGCTACGGAAAGCCACTGATGGGTTCTGCACAGAAACATGTCTAACATAAAGCATACCACATTAAATTTCACCATTAAAAATCAAGAGTTTTCTGTATAACCCTGGATGTCCAAAAAAGTATTTGTGCATGCAAAGCAATCTTATGGAGAGCAGATGGGCTGGTGAACTGTACAAACCCTACTCATAGTCTAGAGGTAGAAAATTATAATACTCACCATTTCAATAGCATAATTGTAAATTAATTTGTCAGCTGTTATAGTGGATGTTTTAGGATCTACTGCTGTCACTGCTCCAGAACTGTTCAATTCCTTGCAGATACTCAATGCTTGACGAAATCTGTCATTTAGCACACCCACAACTGCAATACAGTAAAGCATTCATTAATACCACTATCATTGCTTAGTGGAGATGCCCTCGTCCAAAGAAGACATGAATATAGTAATACTGTATAGAAAAACTTGGTTATAAATACTGAAGACAGCATGGTACCCTTTCACTGATACTACGCAAAACAGAATCCTTACCCAGCATCACCACACAACAATGTTACCCACAGTTATATCTTCACCATATTCAGTAAAACACTAGAGACTGCAGAACTTCCAGAAATATAGAAAAGGGAAAACATAGTTCCTATATACAAGAAAGTGGCCAGACAGGAAGCATCAAACTAAAATTTTGTCACTAAAAGTTATCAATGGAAAATACTGGAGAATGGTGGAACACCTGGAAAGGACAAAAATTGTAGTAGAGCGCCAGTATTATTTTGAGAGGGAAAAATCATGTGATGAAACTATAAAAGTTTTGTGCCAGGGTCAGTAAGATACAACAAGATAAATAAAACTACGTTGCCTATGTTTGTTTCTGAACAGTCGGCAATTAATTGATATTGTTCTCCCTAAAAGACATGAATATGAAATGGTAGACGCAAGCTGGAATAACTGGAAAGACATCGAACTGCTTAAGGGAATACCTGACACACATTAAACACAGCTCAAGAAAAATCAAACTGGAGGGATATAGCAAGTGAGTATTCCAATGATCAGTCCTAGGCCCATTCTGTTCCTAATCTATGTGAATGACTTACCCAAGGGAACATGTTGGTATATGTCTATGTTTGCAGATGACACAAAACTAAGTTAGGATGTACGTACATCCTTTCTGCTGTAACTAAGTACAGCAGAAAGACCTAGACAAACTCAAATAGTGTGCAGACACTTTGCTGTTAAAGATGCTACACCACAAGGGGAAGATAATTATAGGAACTGGTGTAACAGTGGGGGGTCATAGAGTTTGAACCTCTGGCATGTGAAGACCCTTGAGGAGTGTATTCCATGAAGTATATATCTTTACACAGAGAGTAATAACACTAACATGATGTATCAGACTGAAAGCAAATTACAAGACACGAAAGTAAAAAGTCAGGTTATCATATGAAAGCATGGTATGGAGCCTGTGTGTAAACTTGCAGGGGCATAAGCATAAATGAGAGAGGTTGGATTTGCTATCCTACTCAGAAATGGAATAGATATGATATTAAAACATGATAATTATAATTAATAAGCTCTGTACATAGTGAGTGAACATTTGTAACAAATTAAGATTATTTCTACAGTACTTGAGAAAATTTTGAAATCATCTTGAAGTGCAATACTTGTACTGTATACAGGATGTTAAATTTACCATTCTTCACAGCATTTGAGGGCTGTAGTCTACTGGTTGATTTCTCGTGTTTTGCTAGAGTGAGTGCAGAAGACAGCAATTGCAAGGCTCTGACGTAGAGTACCAGCTGCTCTGCTCTTCGCTGCCACTCAGGTGGGGGGGCTGCCATTATAGAACCATCAGAATCTCTAGGTGAACCTGCAAAATTAGTTTTACAGTAATCTAACAAAAAAGCTATTTGAAAAAGTAGGAACACTTAATATATTTGACATACACTGTCAACTACATTAAATAAAGAATACTGTGAAAGAGCCAGAGCAGCCAACCAAGAAAAACAATCACTTTACATGTAAAGTCATTTTGGCAAGTCAGTCTCGAGAGTTAATGGACTTAATATTTCCAATTTTTACAGAGTGGGGGGAAGGCATCAGCAGAGTATAAGGTGAATATCATAAAAGAAGGTTATAGATATTAAATCACAGATAAATAAGAATCACTGCATTGCAGTAGCATCCCACCTCTTGTCATATTGAGCACAATACATACAAATAATCTTATAAACCTCTTCCACCCAACCTTGTCCCTTACCCTATCCTGTAAATCGTCCACACTAAATCTCCACTTACTCACACTTATTCTCCATGAAAAATGTTGTCCTCATACCAGGCTGCTAGAGTACAACTTTTAAGAATCATCCACAGGCAATCACTCTGCAAGCCACCATCTCCCTGGCCTTCCTCTCCTCATCCTGAACACACCAGGCCACACCACGAACACCGAAAATAGGCTAATAACAATGATAAATTTCAGAACGAATGCTCCAGACAGTATACTAACCTCCAGATACCGATTCTCTCATGGTAGTATTTTGTCGTAAGGCTGTGATTGGTGCTGCTCGAGAGCGAGCCAATTCTAGGATACAGTCTACCAATGCAAGCACAAAGTTTAGCTTGGCTAATGTTTCATTGTGTTCACGCTAGTCAGAGAAAAGAAAAGAGAATTATTTATCAAGTTAAAAACATCAAAAGATGTAGCAAAATGTATCAAGAAACTAAATAATTCATTATAATTTATAATAATAATAATTAATAAATCTTTATGAAAGGGTGCTTGTATGTAACGTGCAATATATATCACCAATATCAGCAGGTTTAAAATGCCAGACATAATATTTGCAATTTACTCAATTTTTGTATAAATACCTCCATTAGAGTTTCTTGATGAAGAGGGGGTGCATAGAAAGCTACAGTATCTTGTCCGTCCGCTTGACTAAATGGTGTACCCTGCAAAAGGAATGCTGGTGCAGACTGGCCATATTGTACAAGTTGTCTCCCAGGATTAGGTGGACTCGTAGCACGAGCTTGCCATTCCAAGAGATGAGACTCTGTTCGCGATCGCTGAAGTCCACTACTATCTACACTCATATCTTGTGCACCACCTATGGCAAAATCAGATGTAAAAAGTTAGTGATGGTGTTATTTAGCAAGTTAGTTTAACTGTTTACAAAAACCTACATAGGCAGATAAGCAATACCCACAAGGAAAATGACATACAAAATTCAATACAGAACTTCTACTTGTACAAAAAATATTTACATTGAACATAATTTCACATTTATGCACTAACAATACACAAAACAAAGTGAAGCAATTGACTTCTACTGGAGCAAACTCTTACTGACCCATAAAGAGGTCACGTGATACAGAGGTCATCTCAGGAAGTGTAATAGCACGATGTGGGGCTGTGTGAGGCAGGTTGGTGGTGTTGCCACAGATGTCACCAGCAGGGTTATCTTGGCCAAAACCTAATTTTGTGGGAGAGCCAAGGATAGGGGGCAGCACAGGGGGAGCTGAGAAAAGTTGGGGAGGCACGTAAGGAGGTGTACGACGGCCAGACTGACGTAAAGGTGAGTTGGTGGGAGTGAGACGACCTCCTGGGATTACCTGGGTGTTACCTGCGGTACAACAAAGCCCTTGTTACTATGTCATATTACTACCTACAATATGGTAGGAATAATAATATATGGGTTCGAATAATACAGCTGAATAAGACAACTTTCCCAACACAAACATCACAAAAGCAGGTGTAAATTATGCTTGCCCTGTAAAAAAAATCATTATTTAAATTTAATTAATAAATAGTAAATGCACTAAGAATTTTGGTTTGTTAATACAGGACATAATCATAAATGATCTAATCATACGTTACTCCCAATGAACCTTATTAATTTACTAGTGGCATAGTAACAAGCAAGACACACACCATATAATACACTAATACAGTGAACACATCCACAAGGGCTGTGACGAGGGTTCGAACCTACGTCTGAGAGCATCCCAGACGCTGCCTCAATCGACTGCGCTACGATATGGTTAAAACTAAAACTCGGCCCTTGTGGATTTGTTCATTTGATGCATCACGCTATTGTGATTTCTGTGTATAACCAATACAGTGTTAATATCTATCTTAACATTGCCAACACCAGTACTTAACCCACATCAGCATATTAATTAAGGACAGCACTACTTTTTAAAACATTTTAAACATTAAACATTTTTTAAATTTCACACTGAGAAAATTAATAGAAGCCATGAGGAGGATTTGAACCTTCATACTGGGTATGAAGGTTCATGCCCTATACCACTAGAACCAAAATATACTACAGACCTAATGCTTCCATTGAAACCAAGCCAGAGTTTTAACGTATCACTCGCATACACTCTGGCTGTGTGCAGGTGTATGCGGGTAATTTATAACACTGACTTGGTTTTAGTGGAAGCCTCGGGGGCCCCTAGAATATTCAGTTGAATTCCAGATTGCATTACTTTTGTACCATATCACAGTCTAGCATGTGCTCGGGAGTATCCAGTGAGTGGGTCCTCCTCCTCCTCATGGCTCCTACTAATTTTCTCATTGATACATACACCATGTTAATATGATTTCTTTGCATATTTTCCCACTCTGTTAATATACAGTATATTAATTGTGTATATCACGAAAATAAACACATGATTAAAAATGTGACAGTGTCAGACCACGGAGGAAAATTTAAACAGGAATTTCCTCAAGTACTTTCGTATATTAATACATCTTCAGAAGGAGTCCTTCTGAAGATGTATTAATATACGAAAGTACTTGATCAAATTCCTGTTTCAATTTTCCTCCGTGGTCTGACATTGTCACAGTATATTAAATTCTGGAAATTTAGGTACGATAACATGTATCAAGTGAGTGTCATAATGTTGGGGTGGAACCAAATTCACCTTTCACTCATATAATGTATGTACTGTACTATTATAATGAAAATGATATTCAGTTTCTTAGGAAACTTTAGGCAATAATTTTAATAAATCTAATATTTTCTAGTGTTTACTGATATCATACTTAATTTTAGTTGAAAATGCAAGTTTCACCAAAATGTACATTAATGCAAGATAGATGGCATCAAATGGTATCGTACCAATAAAGTGATGTACTGTACAACTGCAAGAGAGTGATAGTGTTGCAACACATTGATAGTGATGCAACACTATCACATGATAGAACAACACTAGGCCTCTTAAATGTCAGTCTTGCATGTTAATGCAGCAGAAGAATACATTATCTACACAATAATAGCCGTCTGATACTGCTTAAAAGCACTGTACTGCTCTACAGTATATTAAAATATTTATATTCCATACATGAATTGTGATCTAAGAGCTGGTAGGCGAGGTGAATTCGAGATAAACTTTAATACAGAATATTAAATGGTGATTTCATGGCAAAAATTCCAATACAGAATAAATTAGCAATGAAGCATACATATATTAGAAGTTACTAACTTGAGATTCCTTTGAGTTTTACAATGATTAATTTATAGAATAAATTAAGAGTAAATATTAGCAGTAAAATCTTGCTCTGAATGATACAACAGTTCAAAATCAAACAACAATACTCTGAAAGTAATATAGTGAGGACAAACAAGTGAATGTGCATTAATCAAATACCACATGAGGGTACCTGTTAGCTTACAATTACCAGTGTATTAAAGCTGTACACAAAATAAACAAATCATTACCAGTAACCCCGACAGTCGTCGGTGGTGTTGTTGAATATGAACTCCCTGATGTTGACCTTCGCCGCCCTCCCATAGGAGGATCACCAATGGTGAACTGAACCTGTAAGAAAGGTAAATGGAAAAACTCTAAATAATAACAAGAAAATCTTATGAATATTAGGCAAATTTTTTTTTGTTATATGATTAGAAATAAAATAATATACACAAATGAATAAGACTTACAGCAGGAGGTGACAATGAAGCAACATCAGGTGCTTTGTGATCAGACACTCTACGCATGTTAATTGGTTGTGAGCGAGGTGGAGGCGAGGGTCGATTACTCGACATTCCCTGATGTCTAGGAGACTCGGGTTGGAGTGTGGCAGATATCTGATCTGAAGAGCCAGAAGAGGTCATCTGCTGAAACGTAGCTCGCTGGGATGGAACAGGGACAGGCTCTCCGGATCGACAAGATTCACTACTACTGCTGGAGTGTGTGCTACCACTGCTACCACCTATGCAACAATTGATTCAACTACTTAGTTATGAATTACAATTACAAATGTAATTAGCAATGAACAGAATAATTACACACACAAGCATGCATCCTCTGCTTCTAATATGTGGATACCTGGAATGCATTGTTACTATTTCTGGTAGCCAAATACATACAGGTACATGTATCTTTTACAGTATTACCAAATAATCAATATCAGATAATCCACAAGGAACATGGTTTTCAAGGTTTCAAGGTTTTCTGAATGACATATGACTTCTAAACCATTCAGATAAGACATGGAATTCTAAACATAAGGAATATTACCTTGGACTGGAAGATGAGAAGGTCTGGGAGATGTAGGGACTTGGGGTGTGAGGGGACCATACTGTGGAGGATTTTTCTGGTAAACCACCCCTCCTGGTTTGGCCAGAACACGTCCACCCCACCTAGAAGTAGATAATAATGAACGCGAAGCTCTTACACTTCAGTTAATCTTCATTTTATATTTAAGCTGTTATTTACACATTAAACAACACTACGCATACATAATGGTGTACACTCGGCTAAACTGTCACTGCAATCAGTGTCACACACCAGTTTTCATCTACATAGAGACGGTGTTTTTTCATGTTTTAGGATCGGATTTTCTACATACTGTAATTGCCTTTTATGTCTTAGCACACAATGCTGATATACAACATAATAATTTTTATCACACGAGATGGATAATTAAAAAACATAACTACAAAGGAAAAATTAAGTAAGTACGTGTAGCAGGTCAAGTGCTTTCGTAAATATAAATCTATTCATGCTTCCCCAGTTATGCATTGTACATGAGAATAGTTAATTATTCTGGTAGATCATAATTACTATTTTTTTTCTAGATGGTTATCCATTATCAAATATTTGCAACTCGCTTAAACTACAAAAGCAAAACAGTAATCAAAGTGTTAAAAAGCAAAACAAGTCAAAGTGTTAATGTCGTACTGGATAGTGAAAATTTTTATGTACTGCAGGGACATGTATTTTTCCTTTATATTCATTATGTATTATATCCTTTCAACTCAATTACTTGAACTTCCTTATACTGCAGCTAGCATACATGCATGCATACATACGGTCAAACAGAAACAATAGATTTCAAGCACTAACTAAATATTATCTTTATTCCTGACATTAATTAAAAAAACATCAACTTACCCTTGTGGAACTCTTGATGCTTCTGGCTCATTAGGGATATGAGTAGGAACCATAACAAAGTCTTCTGTTTCCTCTTGCAATTGTGTACTTGCAGTTCTGGGTACAGGCGTGGGTTTTGGTATATTGGTGGCAACTACAGGAGATGCTGAAGGAAGATCATTCCCACTTCGTTGGTCAATGCTCATTCGAAGTTCCTCTGGTGATGGGGGAAGGTTACCTGTTTATTGAAAATCAATGTTAAGAAATTAATATCAACAAAATACGCAAGAATTTGACCTACGATAACAAAATAATAAAATTAATACAGAATAAATTTGGTGAATATACAGTACTACATTATTTTGGCTATTTGGAACCCATCTCTGTGAAAGAAGAAAATTTAAATGTTACTGCTTTGCAAAAGATAAATAAGTGAATCTAGAAAACTTACCAATAGGTGGGCTTGGAGCTGGCTGTGTGTGTTGTGTGTGTGTTCCACCACGTTTAACAGGCTTTGGTGTAGCTGCAGGTGTGGGTAAGGTTGTGGGCATAGGCACAGAAGATGAGCCACTACTCGAGGCTGGCTTCTCATCAGTACTTTTCTTTTCATTTCTTTTCAGAAGCATAAATGGATGATTAAAAAATGTTTCAAAGTCCATTCGATCTTTTGCATTTCTCTTTAGAAGCCCCATGAGAAGATCTATTAATTCTGGTGACGTTCCAGCAGGTATTCTGGTAAATTAAAAATAGTACTGTACAGTAGTTGTTTTAGTTTGCTTCATATCTTTAAACTACTACATCCTTCTATATGTATAATACCAAAGAAAATAGAGCACACACACTATCACTGTCTTATAACTAAAATTTAAATCATATTTTTACAGTAAATAATAAACCTTTACAGAAAGTATTATTGATAAGTACTCCTTAATAAATTTTAATACTGTATGAGGATAAATGAATGCTATATACTGTATATCATAAATTCTAACACTAACCTTGGTGCTAAATCGGCATTCTTTTCATAAAACTGCTTCAGAGCCTGTGGAGTTTGGGCATGAAATGGTGCCTTGCCAACAAGACACTGGAACACAATGGTGCCTAATGACCAGAGATCGGCCTTGGCATCGTACTGTATTGACATGATAACCTCTGGAGCCATATACATAGGAGAACCGCATAATGTGGCTGCCATTACTCCATCTTGGAGAAATCTTGCAAAGCCAAAGTCAGCTGATCGGTGAAAATTAAAAGATTAGATTTTATTTTTCATAATGCAAAATAAGCTATTGTTTTTACCCTACAGCCAAATAACAGGAGGGCAACATATGAGCACATAAGATATAAATAAAATACCACAGAATACTTAAGTCTTGTTGAATCAAGTAAGGAAGTGTAGTACAGTATGTACTCTATGTCTTACTGAGTATATTGGTTACCAGAACAATCTGTCTAATGATGTTAGCAAACTTTAAATAGCTTATCAATTTATTATATGATATCAATGAGAAAATCAGTTGATTTTCTCAGAAATAATCATCATAAATGCCAACATTATTAACTTTAAATAGCTTACAAACAAAAATTGACAATTCAATATTTTGAATTTAAAAAAGTAATGTTTGGTTTGGTTTAGGGAAAATTGTATGTACTGAATCGTATGACATTTTTATGACAACCTGTTCCATCCCTTTATACAACTTGTACCAGGAGCACAAGTATTTTATGATTAAGAAATGACCTGTAACAAGAATCTAGACGTATGTTCTTGTATAAATAGGTATATTAGAAGGTAATAAAACATGTCACTTAACTGTAAAGTGCTAAAATTTCCATCTTCGTTCATGTCAAATGACTTTATAGCAAGTTGCAGGATTAAATTTACTCGTACTGTATTATGGTGTGTGCAAGTGATGTCCGTGCGAGATACATTTAATGTCTAGAACACCAAGTACATGTACTATTCAAAAATTCAATCAGGATTTCGAACAAACTCTATCTTGATCACTGAGAAACAGGTGTGCAGTAACCTTGGTTTACAGTTTGACCTTGTTGATAGGAAATATATGAGGCAGGTAGCAGGTGGAGCATGTGAAATGTGTGTGGCACCCTAGCGTACTGCAAAACACTGGCAAGGGAACAACACTTGTTGCATTGCACCACCACACCTGGTGCAACACTTCTCATGGACACACCTCACACACCCACCATATAACAGTTTCACTTTCACACACTACTTCACTATGTCCTAGAATGTCAAACAACCAATGATCTTAGAAGAGCTTTAAGTCCCTGAATCTTGCAGGAACCAGCTGAAGCCATCAACACTGCCACTGTTCTGGTCAAAAAAAGTGTGTCCTGCAGCTGGACACCCTCATAAATACTGTCAAGCAGTGTCCTTCCCTACGATAGCTGCCTGACGATTTAAATGCAACCTCTACACACAGTATTCATTCGCTCAAAAAAAATAAATTCTACCACTTACTACTCTATTCATTATTATTAGTAAGAAATAAAAACATTCTGTTTTATAAGGAATAGAAAAAAATCTATTCATGCCTGTGCCACCTCTTGGGTGGTTTAATCTTCATCAATCACCTTTACATGTTCCTACAACAGAATCCAACCCCTTCTTCTAACAGCACACCCACCACAACCTGATGGAATATGGCATCTACAATATTGGCAATTAAAAACTTGTCATTGAATTTATTGATCTTACCTCATGGCTTTCATGAAGTAATCATCAGGTAATGAACTACAGTACAGTATATACATTACTACTATTTTTAACATGTGATCTCTGGTATGGTACTACTATGACATTTATGATTCTTGATAAAATTATATTTCATTATATACCAGGACATAAACACAGCACAACCAAGCTATGCTTGATACATCAGGCTGCGAGCAGCAGCATCCAACAGCCTGGTTGACCAGACGACCAACCAGGAGGCCTAAATTGGAGACCGGGCCACAGGGCCATTGATCCCCGGAAGCTACACAAGGTAGGTAGGATATACAAGATTTCAACAACAGTGAATAATTTGTCAAATCATTAGAATATATAGACAAGCACCCAAACGACAGTCTGACGTGGCTTTTAATAATACTTTTAATCTAGTCTATGGAACTTACTCCCTAACGAATTGAAAAGCTGTCCAACTTTTGCCTTATTTAAAAACAAAAACAAAACGTACCTAATTTCATCTTCATAGTTTTCCTACCTAGTGCTTTAAACTCGCACTGTATCTAGTGCTATCCAATCCCCCAATATATGTACCTAAGCCCAGCCCATCCTCCAAAAAGGGGAGGGAAATGTAACAGCCCCATAAGTGCAATTATGTACTATGTATGAAAGTCAGGAATTGTACTTATTTACACTTAGTATTAAATAGTACTGTCAAATATATTGTGAATATTTGAGTTTACCTGAAAAGCTGACTAAAAAAACACGACCTCACCTATCCGTCTTAGTTTTTGAAGATAAGCATTTTATTGCTTCTTAATTAATTACAATTACTACTTAACCTATAACTATATTGATATTACAGTTTTATAAAACAAATAAAACAAAACTAAAGTATGTTAATAATTTGTAAAGTAACTCAGGATATTTTCAAATTTTATATAAAATCTCTATTGTTTGATATAACTGAAAAAAAAATTCTGATATTTAAAACTTGTGTATAGCAAACTGAACTTTAAAACTTCATCCTAAAATTCCGAGTGTCTTAACAGAAAACGAGGAGAATTAAATGGGGAGGTAAATGTAACAGCCCCATAGGTGCAATTATGTACTATGTATGACAGTCAGGAAATGTACTTATTACACTTAGTATTATAACGTACTGTACTGTCAATTTGGAGGATGGCTTGCTATAACTTTTCCATTGTAATCATTGATATCATCTGATATCATAGTTGTTATATTGAGTACATATTTTACTGCATTATTCCTTGAAATGATCCTTAAATTGTGCTACAATGAACCAAATGATACCCTCAAATTTTACTTAAATGTACCTAGTCATCTTTGTAATTATAGTGTACAGTATTGTCATTATTGTGTATTAATCTATTCTTTGTTTATTGTGCCAAAATGTCTAACAATGTACCTGTAAACATTATTTGTCAATTTTGTTGGAAATTATCTACTTAAAATTACCTGTTAGATTAAAGATAAGTTGGAAACACTATGGGTGCTAGAGGCTTTAAAGGACTGTAAAATCATCATTACTATGTACTCTCTTAACCCCCAATGTACGTTCTTGTATATAAATAAATAAATAAAATAAATACTGAACTAGTGTCCCCCACTAATAAGATGCATATACTGTACTTACCGTATTAACCATTTGTGCCAATATCACGCAATTTCTAGTTTAACACAATATCCTCAGGTGTATATATATATATATTTCTGCACAGACTGCTTTCTATTCTTGTTATAAGGAGGAAGGTTTAGTGTAGTGTGGAGGAGCGTGAGCGAGCGGCCCCGGCACCCACCTGCACCACACTGCGCCAGTGCCACAAGTGCCACCCACCCAGCACCTCTCACACACACCTTGCCACTATTCACCTCTAATAATATCTTTCTCTCTCTCAATCTATATTAACAAATTTCATTCCATTAAATTCAATTAATTTATCCCCTCGACAGAATTTGTTGATGACATTAGCCGTCAGTATATTGTATGCTGTTATCTTTCTAGTGAACAATTAAGGTGAACACGAATACTGCCATGGTCATAACTTTACACAATGTACTACTGTGTAGCTATATACAACAACATGACACGTGTTATTGTTGGGTAGAGTAGCACTAGTTAGGGAACAAACAACAGACTGAGAATACGGAGCTTGGTTAGAAGAACCAGTTTGGACCCGCCAGACAGCTTGGCACCACACTCGCTCCCTCAGTATCTCCGTCTCCCTCAATGATTAGTCTTTTTCCACAACTAGTTGAGATACATTTTGGTGGGTCAGAAGCAATCAAACACAGCTGTACATTCGCAAAAATTCGTAATAATCACAATGGCATCAGATACACAAGTAATACGCACTTAAAACCTGTATTCTTACTCATTTGAGTCAACTTTCCAATGCGCCAAGCTTTCACCCGTTCTCACAAGTTTCACTCGGAGGTGACATCAGCCGAGCCTGCTCCTGGCTGGCCACACCAGTGATGCAATTCTGCACAGACTTGCACCGCCTCTCCTCGCCCTTGTTACCGCTCAAGGGCGCGCCCACCACCCATAACTTTAAGTTACCCCCTGACCTCATTCACACAGGATATGAAACCATACAATTAGGGATCTTCTCTATCAAGTGTTAAGGGCCCTCAACCCACCAATCTAAACGATTTGTTTTAATCCTAGAGGTTTGATTTTTTTTATACATATTCAAACCGCGTGTAGAAATCTTCCATTGACATACATAAAGGAACACGTTCTCCTACTGTGCTCATTACCAATAAAAACTGATTTGGCATGAGGCTCTGCCACCACACACATCTACTGCCTGCCAATCACTATATTTCTCATGTAAAAAATTAAATAATATATATTTTTACTAGGGCTTAAGAGTTAATAGTGGCTACATAGGATGCAAGAGAGGTTTTAATTTCTTAGATTTTCCGCAACTCGTTGAAACCTTCCAAAGTCCTTCCCCTATTTCTTTGTCCTATTGGGAAACTCCTGACCCCTTAACACTTGGGTAACAAGATTGTTTACCATGTTCTGAAAGCCTAATAACAGTGTTCTATTGGAATTTCTATTGTGGCATAGGTCTTAGGAGTTTCTTCAAGGATGGAAGTGAAGTTCCTCTTCTACCCGAATATTTAATCAACCTTCATCCATATATCCCAGCGTATCGCTTATAACCTCATGGCACGTGGACCATATTACTCTACACCTCATCACCAACCTATCCTCTTGCTACATAAAAAAAAAGTTTTTAATTTTTCCTTTCTTATGCATTTTAAAGATAAATTCAACACAAGAATTTTGGGTATTTTGAACCAAAACTATCCTAGCGTCCTTACCCCATCCAAATATGCCTATTAATTCTCAAAACGAGTGCAAAATTCAAACGATATTAATTAAATAATAAGTAATATTTTTGCCGTGTTAATTGTGGGCATCTTGTTCTCGTTGTTAGACTAACGATTTCATACTTTTCCGGTGAGCGGTTATTAAAGGGCAGATGACACTGATGCTACACTACTCAACCCATTGATTGATGAAGATTAAGCCACCCAAAAGGTGGCACGGGCATGAATAGACCGTAAGTGGTGGCCCTTTTGAGCCATTACCAGTATCATTAGCTGATACTGGAGATCTGTGGAGGTGCGACTGCACCCTGGGGAGAGGTGCCTCTGCTACTCAACCTGTCCCGCCTCTAATATAATGGCCACAAGACGGACCAGAGTCCAGGAGCCAGATTCACAAAGCAGTTACGAACCTGTACATCTCAATCTTTGGCGGCTTTGTTTACCATTATTAAACAGTTAATGACCTCCGAAGCACCAGGAGGCTGTTTATAACAATAACAACAGTTGATTGGGAAGTTTTCATGCTTGTAAACTGTTTAATAAATATAACCAAAGCCGTCAAAGATTGAGGAAAGATGTACACGTCCGTAAGTACTTGCGTAACTGCTTCGTGAATCTGGCCCCAGGAAGACAAACCTATAGAAGCGTCACCAATGCTAAACAAAAGATAAGAGCTCTTCATATAAATGAACAAATCCACAAGGGCCGTGATGAGGGTTCGAACCTACTCTCGCTCTCCAAATATATATATTACAAGAGCAAGAATACCGCCAACTTATTAAGAACTCTTCGCACACAAAACTGAATGCCTTGGAAGAGACTAGTCCTTTACATGATCTCTTAAAGACTTTCAGCCCCAACGTTCTAAATACACAGGCAAGATGACAACAGCTCTCTCAGTGTTTGACAATGTACAAATACCAATGCTCAAGTGCAGGCGATGTGTCACAATAAGTAAGTTGACCAGACCACACACTAGAAGATGAAGGGACGACGACGTTTCGGTCCGTCTTGGACCATTCTCAAGTCGATTGAGAATGGTCCAGGACGGACCGAAACGTCGTCGTCCTTCACCTTCTAGTGTGTGGTCTGGTCAAGAGTGGGAGATGTAAGCATGGCAGGCAGTCACACACCTAATGTATCTCCATAATGACTATAGGTCTTTACTTACCGATTTTGAGAGTGATTTTATCAGGTGGTGGGTTAGGCTTGCCATCATGAGACAAGAGGATGTTCTGGGGCTTGAGGTCGCGGTGAACGATGCCCTTCCCGTACAACGCTCGCATCGACTCCGCTGTACAACCACCAACAATATCAGTTACTTTCTTTACTTTATATCTGCACCTCTTTCTCTCTCTCTCTCTCTGGCTCTCTCTCTCTGGCTCTCTCTCTCTCTGGCTCTCTCTCTCTCTGCTCTCTCTCTCTCTCTCTGGCTCTCTCTCTCTCTCTCTCTCTCTCTCTCTCTCTCTCTCTCTCTCTGGCTCTCTCTCTCTCTCTCTGGCTCTCTCTCTCTCTGGCTCTCTCTCTCTCTGGCTCTCTCTCTCTCTCTCTCTGGCTCTCTCTCTCTCTGGCTCTCTCTCTCTCTGGCTCTCTCTCTCTGGCTCTCTCTCTCTCCGTCTGTCTAGCTCTCTCTCTCTCTCTCTCTCTCTCTCTCTCTCTCTCTCTCTCTCTCTCTCTCTCTCTCTCTCTCTCTCTCTCTCTCTCTCTCTTTAGATATAGTTACTCAGGTGGTGCCCGGTGTCCCCAGGTGGTGGTACTCACCCATCTGGATTAGGAAGAGACATATGGTGCCCTCGTTCAGCGTGCCCATTGCTGCGGACCAAACAAAAGAATATAGCTATAATAAAGATAATAATGTGTAACAACCTCGTGTATCATTACTGCAATATGATGATAGTATTAAGACTGTAATTATAAGTGAGGGTGCGTGTTGACGCAAGGTCTGAGACCCGGGGTCGGATTTACGAAGCAGTTACGCAAGCACTTACGAACCTGTACATCTTTTCTCAATTTTGGCGGCTTTGTTTACAATTATTAAACATTTAATGAGCTCCGAAGCACCAGGAGGCTGTTTATAACAATAATAGCAGTTGATTGGGAAGTTTTCATGCTTGTAAACTGTGTAATAAATGTAACCAAAGCCGTCAGAGATTGAGGAAAGATGTACACGTTGGTAAAGTACTTGTGTAACTGCTTGGTGAATCTGGCCCTCAGACATCACAAGAGTCATCAGTCATCGCCACAACTCTCCATACAAAATATCTATGCCATAAACACTAAGTTATAATGAGCCTGGATCTTCTGGTACCTCAGATGATTGACAGTTGAAAGGTGGGACCAAAGAACCGAAGCTCAACCCCCGAAAGCACAACTAGGTAAGTACACCAGGGATTACTAAATGTGAAAATTATACACGTGGTGATCAAGAGCTTTTGACCCAGCAAACATATTTTGGCATTAATTAGTACTCTCACCCACACACTAGTGAAGGGTATACTACCACCACCCAACCTGTCCTCTTACCAATTACGGCTGAATTGGCCGTTTGGCCGTTTGCCCGTATGGCCGAAACTGGACGAAATTAGAAAATAAAAAGAAATTGAAAATAAATTTTGGATTTTTTTCCAAAACAGTAAGGTAAGGGTCCTCTGGTAGGTTAGGGGGACAGGAAATTCTCATTAGGTTTCAAAAACGTCATGAAAAATGTTAATTGAAAGTTTCCTCTCCTAACCTTTCCGAGTACGCAAGAGGACTCAAACAGAAAACGGGACAGTACATCACTTTCGTGAGCCGATTTCATTTAAAATTCCGGCCAGTTTTGGCCATAGCGCACATACGAGCGAGAGGCAACGTTATTTTTAAGAGGACGGACGTCGAGGAGCGCTAGTCTGACCCGGCTAATTCCTCTGAGAGTCGACTCAACACAAGAAGCTTCTGGGAAAGAAGAGTTATATATGATGTAAGTTAGTGGAGGTTAAGAGGATGGAGGGAGAGGGGGGGGGCGGAGTGTGGGGTACTCACCATGAAGGTAGTCGGCCAGGTCGCCCCCGTTACAGTACTGTAAAGATACCACAGATGAGTCAGTGCTTTACACCCTCAAGCTTCTCTGAACCACCAAACTCTTACAAAAAACCTAATGTAAGAGTCAGTTTGTTAAAACATTATACAAATCTTCATAACTATAATTACAATACAATTAAATACATAAAGGTAATGACAAGATAAAATATTATAAATGTAAAGGTGGTGGGAGTGCATGTGTACCATGCCAGTAGCACCAGATGCATCACACCACACAATACACTCCATCTATCACTACACATGATACCTACATGCACTGTGCAGTACTTGTATTATATCAACACCACATACCCAGACACCACACCACCTCATGATGGACACACTACAATACCCTAGTGCTTGAAGGTGAAGCAAGGACGCAATAGTGTATTAAAACCAAATTTTCAGATGTAAGCTCCATCCTTCCTCAAGGTGATGTATACACTGTTATCAGCCTTGAGGAAGCGTAGGTTGTATCCGATAATTTGGTGTTAATACAACTTATACATATATTGGGTCTTGTATGGCCACTACCTATAACTCTGCCATGCTCCACGACTCTGCCACACTCCACAACTCTGCCACACTCCACAACACAAACACCAAACACAGCTCTACTCACCTCCATCACCAGAAAGACATGGTTCACAGTTTCCTGAAAAGAACAAGGAAAAATGGTTAACATTATGAAGAGAAAAGTGTTGAGGACAAATCAACGGAGACACGGGAGAGGCGGCCACGTGTCCTGCTGATGGATGTACCTGAAGACCAAGAACAACAACAAGCACCTTGATAATGACCTAAGTATTGTGGTGAGTCAGTACATGAGTGGAGGCTGCTGCCATATGCACCACCACTGGGGCCAGTACTTGGCTCACTTGGACAAGTACGGTTACCTGCTTACCTGGTTGATACCTGGTTGATGGGGTTCTGGGAGCAGTTCTACTCCCCAAGCCCGGCCCGAGGCCAGGCTTGACTTGTGAGAGTTTGGTCCACCAGGCTGTTCCTTGGAGCGGCCCGCAGGCCCACATATCCACCACAGCCCGGTTGGTCCGGCACTACTTGGAGGAATTGCTTGATGGGGTTCTGGGAGCAGTTCTACTCCCCAAGCCCGGCCCAAGGCCAGACTTGTGAGAGTTTGGTCCACCAGGCTGTTCCTTGGAGCGGCCCGCAGGCCCACATATCCACCACAGCCTGGTTGGTCCGGCACTCCTTTGAGAAAATGGTCTAGTTTCCTCTTGAAGATGTCCACGGTTGTTCCGGCAATATTTCTTGTGCTCGCTGGGAGGACGTTGAACAGCATCCTGCCATGCTTACTTGTCTTATGTGATGTTATTTCTGTGTTCAGGTTTGGGACCAGTCCCCTCTAATATCTTCCACGTGTAGATTATTATGTACTTCTCTCCCCTGCGCTTTAGAGAATACAGATTTAGAACTTTTATTCAGTCTCAATAATTAAGATGACCTATAGAGTGGATTCTAGCGGTAAAGGATCTTTGCACGCTCGCTAGGTCAGCAACTTCTCCGGCTCTGAATGCTGCTGTTAGAGTGCAACAATACTCCACCCTAGAGAGCACTAGTGACTTTAAAAAGCATCACCATTGGTATGGCATCCCTTGTTTGGAAGGTCATTGTTATCCAACCTGTCACTTTTCTTGCAGTTGTGACCGCTACTTTATGGTGTTCTGAAAAGACCTTAGTGGGTTATCACCCGGGATATTGTGATCTTGGTGGGTTATCACCCGGGATATTGTGACCTTGGTGGGTTATGTTCCGGGATATTGTGACCTTGGTGGGTTATGTTCCGGGATATTGTGACCTTAGTGGGTTATGACCCGGGATATTGTGACCTTGGTGGGTTATGACCCGGGATATTGTGACCTTGGTGGGTTATGTTCCGGGATATTGTGACCTTGGTGGGTTATGTTCCGGGATATTGTGACCTTGGTGGGTTATGTTCCGGGATATTGTGACCTTGGTGGGTTATGTTCCGGGATATTGTGACCTTGGTGGGTTATGTTCCGGGATATTGTGACCTTGGTGGGTTATGTTCCGGGATATTGTGACCTTGGTGGGTTATCACCCGGGATATTGTGACCTTGGTGGGTTATGTTCCGGGATATTGTGACCTTAGTGGGTTATGTTCCGGGATATTGTGACCTTGGTGGGTTATGTTCCGGAATATTGTGACCTTGGTGGGTTATGACCCGGGATATTGTGACCTTAGTGGGTTATGTTCCGGGATATTGTGACCTTGGTGGGTTATGTTCCGGGATATTGTGACCTTAGTGGGTTATGTTCCGGGATATTGTGACCTTGGTGGGTTATGACCCGGGATATTGTGACCTTAGTGGGTTATGTTCCGGGATATTGTGACCTTGGTGGGTTATGACCCGGGATATTGTGACCTTAGTGGGTTATGTTCCGGGATATTGTGACCTTGGTGGGTTATGACCCGGGATATTGTGACCTTGGTGGGTTATGACCCGGGATATTGTGACCTTAGTGGGTTATGTTCCGGGATATTGTGACCTTGGTGGGTTATGACCCGGGATATTGTGACCTTAGTGGGTTATGTTCCGGGATATTGTGACCTTGGTGGGTTATCACCCGGGATATTGTGACCTTGGTGGGTTATCACCCGGGATATTGTGATCTTGGTGGGTTATGACCCGGGATATTGTGACCTTGGTGGGTTATCACCCGGGATATTGTGATCTTGGTGGGTTATCACCCGGGATATTGTGATCTTGGTGGGTTATGACCCGGGAATATTGTGACCTTCTTGAGGTTATCTTGAGATGATTTCGGGGCTTTAGTGTCCCCGCGGCCCGGTCCTCGACCAGGCCTCCACCCCCAGGAAGCAGCCCGTGACAGCTGACTAACTCCCAGGTACCTATTTACTGCTAGGTAACAGGGGCATTCAGGGTGAAAGAAACTTTGCCCATTTGTTTCTGCCTCGTGCGGGAATCGAACCCGCGCCACAGAATTACGAGTCCTGCGCGCTATCCACCAGGCTACAAGGCCCCGTTGGTGGGTGTTGTGGTAGAGTGGTGTTGTAGGAGTGTGAAGAGGAGTGAGGAGAGGAGCGTGGTGTGGGCGGAGAACAACACTGCTCCTCCTCACAAGGTGATCAATGGGACTCATCAGCAACACGCATCCCACACCACAATCAATATTTCCTGGGCTCTCACCCCCACTGCTCTCGGGAGACCCGCCTCTCTTCTTGCTCGGTGTCCTCCATGTTTGTGGAGCGGAGCAGTGTATAGAGGTGTGGGCCAGTATATGGGAGGACACGGAGGGTGGAGGTGGGATACCTGGAGGCCAGGGAGAAGGCAAGGGTCCTTCCTCACCTGAGAGACCATCACCCATACACTTGCCGCTACTACACCCAGGAGCATTAGACCCACCCCACCAAACACCCATCTCAGAGCTGTTGCTATGCTCTCCTCCCATCCCCCATCTCACCTTCCCCCCTACTGGCTTTGTACCCAAAGACACCGGAAGTAGTGGCCGCAACGCACCATATATACAGCCACCTCTACATACACACACACACACACACACACACACACACACACACACACACACACACACACACACACACACACACACACACACACACACACCAACTGGAAAAGGTTCAAAGGTTTGCCACCAGACTAGTACCCGAGCTGAGAGGTATGAGCTACGAGGAGAGACTACGGGAATTAAACCTCACTTCGCTGGAAGACAGAAGAGTTAGGGGGGACATGATCACCACATTCAAGATTCTGAAGGGGATTGATAGGGTAGATAAAGACAGTCTATTTAACACAAGGGGAACACGCACAAGGGGACACAGGTGGAAACTGAGTGCCCAAATGAGCCACAGAGATATTAGAAAGAACTTTTTTAGTGTCAGAGTGGTTGACAAATGGAATGCATTAGGAAGTGATGTGGTGGAGGCTGACTCCATACACAGTTTCAAGTGTAGATATGACAGAGCCCGATAGGCTCATGAATCTGTACACCTGTTGATTGACGGTTGAGAGGCGGGACCAAAGAGCCAGAGCTCAACCCCCGCAAACACAACTAGGTGAGTACACACACACACACACACACACACACATATATACACTAAATCAAGAATAATTGCTACCAAATACCATATTGGTGGTCTGGAAAAATGTTTGAAGTCTCGCGTAAGCACTAGTTAAAACACTTCTGAGACGTTTCGCATCCTTCAGACCAGACTTCAAATTCCCGACGATATAAGTGAATTTGTTTGATACAATACAAGAGGAAGAGTGCGACAAATACATTAACGGTGACTGTGGAGCTTGGCCATTATTCCCTAGCGACATCCCAGTGTGTGACGCCGGCCCTGCCACATGTAGCTTGGTAAAGGTGCCACGGCCTCTGACGCAGCGCCTCAGCTAGGGTTAGCCAAGGTGTTCCCAACACCCGACAACACCTATGGGTAAAATGTGCAAAATAAACCCAAGACAAATTAGGCAGAGTGAAAATAACGACTTGAGAATGGTCCAGGACGGACTGAAAAGTCGTCGTCCCTTCACCTTCTAGTGTGTGGTCTGGTCAACATACTTTAGCCACGTTATTGTGACTCCTCGCCTGCAGAGTGAAAAACCCAAACCAAAGAGAGAGATTAAGTTATACAAAAGATGTCGCCATCCAAGCGACCTGTAAGAGCCAATTCAGAGGTACAACTGAGAATGATCAAGCGGGGAAGAAGGAGGATGCTGAGTGGCTGTGTGAGGAGGGAGATGGTGGTTGTGGTGGTGAGCCAGGACCACCAGTGGACCACATATAGGTCCACCCCTGGGGTAATGAGCAGCCCCCATCATTTAGGCCTGGGTCAGGGACCAGGGAGCGGCCGCCCAGCCTTCTCCAGGTAAACAAGAGGCACCAGCAGCAGCCCCAGGCCAAACACCCTCACCACCAACACAACAGATGATAATTTACACTTGGGAAATATTAGAGGGACTGGTTCCAAATCTGCACATTGAAACAACATCACAGAGAGAGAGGAGGGAAGAGGGATAGGAGAGGGGGAGGAGAGTTTACTTTATTAGTTTCCACCAGAGACGTGGGCGCACATTTACAACGGTAACCAGCATATATACATTTTCTTCCCTTGCCCATGGTCAGGGTTAGAGATGTGTTATAGACATGTAGTTCAGTGGTAATGTATGTCGGAAGTAGCTTGTAATATTAAATGGAATGTAATTTTTGCCAATGATAATAACTCTTGTATACAATTTGTGTGGATCCCATACCATGTTGGAGTTGGAAAACATGACTTTGTAGATCGATTGGCCAATGAGGCTTGCAGGAAAGAAAACATTGATTATGACTTTGGACTATCTAATGCAGTTATTAGAAACAAACAAATTAAAGAAATTAATTCAGATTTAGAAGAACTAAGAAATGCCCAGAGACCTGAAAGCTGCCGTATTAAAAGTTATGACAAGTTTTGTAATAATATGTATTTGTATGGTCAGCACAGTAACCGAACCAGGCAATGTGATGTAGTCATTGCACGAATTCACCTTGGCTATAGACACATCTGGCAGGTTAGTGAGGCTGAGCCACTACCAGAATACTCACACACAGAGATCACAATAACGTGATGCATATTCGAATCCTCGTCACGGTCCTTGTGGATTTGTTCCAGAATACTCAGATTGTAAACTCTGTGATAAGCCTTTAATGCATTCACTAGAACACTATATTGATGAATGTGAAACCGTAAAGGACTTTAGACCTCCTGGCCTCTTGTACCACCAACTGTGTAAGTATTTTATTGACTCAGGTGTTCTGGACGACATCCTAACAATTTACCGAAAATTTGCTTGTCCATTTTAAAGAATGAAGAACAATTTTTATTTATATTACTTCTAAGCTGTATCACTTATGAACCCATCCCTGCCCTTGTGTGGCAGTGCACAGTAGAAAGTTGTTTTCACATATCCATACATTAATACATTGATTGTAATCATGATATATATGTACTTCCGCCTACAGTTTAGACCTATTGTCTTATGTATGACCCTCTGTCCTGCGTGACAGTCAATACCAGCATTATCCTCACTTTAATAAGACAATCAAAATCCTCAGATTAGGCAAAATTGTAATTAATTTTGTCAATAAAGATGTTAATAATAATAGTGTTTTATTGAACACTCAACCACAGAAGGTTAATGTTGTCCTTTTAACATTCTTATCTGACCTACATAAATAAATAAATCTACGTTCGTCCAACATAAACAGTGTTCGAGGTTCTGTTATACATAATGTGATTAATACGTATTTACGAAGGTGAAATGCAGTTCTACCCAGCTTACACATATACGAGTGGAAGGTGATGCCAAGAGTGGGAGGGAGGGGGAGGGATACAACAATAAAGAGAACAGCTGTTGTGGGACAGATGCTGGGTGCTCCTGGGAATAACCAAGACCAAGGACGCATCAACGAGCGTGCCAGGATGAGTAATGAAGGTCACGTCCGCCAGGGAGTGAGTAAGGCAACAGCAGGAAGCATGCAAGAGCTTCTTACAAGGTGAGGTGAGAGACGTGCTGGGACATGAATGGGAGCGAGGTGGTGTAAGTAGTAGTCCAGAGTAACTTGACACTTGTCAACACTGCTACACCACAGTCCAGGACCTCACACTGGGGAGGGGGGGGGGGGGGGCGTACCACACTATAGGGAACACACCACACACTAGGGTGACACATTAGAGGTGACATCACACAGTAGGGAAACAACACACACATTAAATTTTTGTGACTGTGTGTGAGAGAGAAAGCTGCATGAACGCGCAAACCATAGATCACTAAGAACTCTATTTGACCCGGTCAGGATTCGAACCCATGCCGTCCAGCATCACCCCTAAACGTACACAGTACCGTGACCACCGCACCAATGCCCATCATGCCCATCCCTTTCTCAAAGCCAAAGGGAGACTATTATTTTGTCTGAATATTTCACACTGATAGGCTCTTCCCAGCTCTTTCCGGTGGTCCAGGCTCTTCCCTGGACCACCGGAAATTCAACGGAAAGTTATTATAAGACAGACAGACTGACTTCAACAACCTGTACATCAGTTGACTGACGGTTGAGAGGCGGGAGCAAAGAGCCGAAACTCAACCCCCCCCCCTCCAGAATCACAATTGAGTGAGTCCACACGCACACACAGCCCACTACCTAATTAATACAAATCTACCACTCTTTGTTATTTACGAGGGTGTCCAGCAGAGAGAGATGGATGAGGGAAACTTACCTTGCAATCGAGAAGGGCCACAACGTTCTCGTGGTGTAGCTCCGTCAGCTCCTGCAACACGAGATCCATCATTAGCAGCCAATAACAACACAAGCGCTTAACACTATATATATAGCCTTTAACAACACAAGACATAGTCGTCAACAACACACAGACGTGAGACTGCCGGGTTGTTTCAAGTGTTGATTACACATGTATATGGATGTGATGGGACAACATGGCCCTTTGTGACCATCCTGCGAGATGGGGACGCTTTAGCATTACCTACTTTGCTTTTGACACACTCTGTAACCCCCTTCAGATAGTCTAGGGGTATCTCCTTAAATGCAGATATGCCTTTATAAATAAGAGAGAATGTGGATATAATATAATAAAAATGGATATAAAATAAAAAGAGTGGATATAATAGGAGTTGTTACATGAATTCTTAAAGTAAAAATCTCCATTGAGGTGTGATAAGACCTTTTGAGCCCTGTGTCATCCCTATTTCCACTAACAGAAAATGAGTGCCGACAGCTGTTGTGGGCTGCACCCTGGAGAATGTGAGTAGTTGTCATAAGAACAACAATAGATGGGGGATCTTTGCATTAGGCAACCGGCAGGTAATGGAATCAGTCCCTTCATTTTCAACAACTTTATATTCTCCAATATATATTTGTTAAAATCAATCGGCATTACTCCATCTTCAAGTAGGGGTGTAGGAGCTAGCTGGACGTTACCGGCACCTGTTGGTGAGTAACTTGTGTATGGCCACCACCTTCACGGCAACCACCCTCCCCATCACCACTACCACCACCTTCACCACAACCACCCTCCCCATCACCACTACCACCACCTTCACGGCAACCACCCTCCCCATCACCACTACCACCACCTTCACGGCAACCACCCTCCCCATCACCACTACCACCACCTTCACCACAACCACCCTCCCCATCACCACTACCACCACCTTCACGGCAACCACCCTCCCCATCACCACTACCACCACCTTCACGGCAACCACCCTCCCCATCACCACTACCACCACCTTCACGGCAACCACCCTCCCCATCACCACTACCACCACCTTCACCACAACCACCCTCCCCATCACCACTACCACCACCTTCACGGCAACCACCCTCCCCATCACCACTACCACCACCTTCACGGCAACCACCCTCCCCATCACCACTACCACCACCTTCACCACAACCACCCTCCCTATCACCACTACCACCACCTTCACCACAACCACCCTCCCTATCACCACTACCACCACCTTCACGGCAACCACCACCCTCCCCATCACCACTACCAACACCCACAACTACTGCAATCCAAGCCATAACCTACACCGCCAACAACAATCACCACCCTCGTCACTACTATCATAACAACCATTAAAATAACCACCACCACCACCACAACCACCACCAGCCACCCCAACACCACCACCACTACCACCACCAGCCACCCCAACACCACCACCACCTGGAGGTAATTCCCAGGCTCACCATCACCACCACCACCAACCGACACCACCACTGGCTCGCTGCCACCATTCTCACTGGATTTTCCAAGCTTGTATAGACTATAAAGTTTGGAGATAATTTTGCAATCATGCCCAGCAGGGGCCGTTGCCAGCACAACAGGCCCATAACACCACCACCAACGCTCCCGCAAATGGTCAGAAATAAATCGTGGATGAAGACCTTCGGAAAACATGCGTACGTTACTAGTCTACAACATTTTTTAATTTCCTTGGATCAAATGATCTAAGAAAACGCAAGACGTAAGCTAAGATCCTCTGACATGAATACGTCCATGTCTGTTACGCAGCTCTTGCACTTCCTAATGTAGTTGGACAACGTGTATCTTCATTATATCACACGCAAAACCAAAGTGTATTGAATTTAATAATAAGCCTTCAATAGGCTTTATAAAGCCTATGTGAAACCCCCACTCGAGTATGCGGGCCCAGGAGGGAGCCCTCGTTTAAATAACACAAAGACTGGACAAAGTTGAAGACTGTGCAACAAAGACTGTTCGGGAACTGTGATGTGATGATGAACTACATCATAGTGGAGGAGAACATTGGGGGAGGGAAGTTGGTACAAGTGTTGCGGGACAACATTCTAAGGGGAGGCGACAAACCCCGAGGGAGCATGGGGCTGGAAACTGGAAACATAAACACAGGAATAAGTGTCGGAGTTGTAAACTTATGGCAGGCGCTCAGATTAAGTAGTGTCAAAGGAAACTCAATACACAGTTACAAAATCTACTATGAAGCCTGAGCGGTGAAGGTCAATGTTAGAGAGGGAGGCTGCCAGCACTTGTAGTGCCACAGAGGGACTAGCAAGTGGAGAGCCCCCGTCATCACGCCACCGAGAACACTTACACAAGGTGGTGTTCTGGCACGGAACACGGTGCACCTTCCACACCACAGATGCTCCTCCGCATCTTTACCAACCTCCTCATTAACTTAACCAACGCCTATCAAATCAAACGATCACGTATGGAAAAGGAGAGTACAAAGGAAAACTTGTACAAAGTTGAAAGACATTGTAAAAACCTTTAAGAAGGGTGAGCAGAGGAGCGTGGAAGTGACGGTGGTCTTGGAGAAGAAACGCTCACAAACGTGACCCAGCCCTGACCGACACTTGTCTTTCTCAAGCGTGTACACACTTACACCACTCACACTCATAAACCTACATTGGCAACACCCTTCTCCGAGACAATCACTTCAGGTAACTGGCACTGGTGTGAGCCAGTCACCAGCACCTCCCAACTTTCCCGCGCCACACAAAAACAGGACGAGGCAGCGGCCTGGAGAAGCGGGTCAGTCACTACACCACAACTATACGTCACAACACTAGGAGTAACTGGTCACCACGAGAGTAAAAGCAGCAAGAAGGTGTTATGATAAGTGTACCCGGTGCCGGGCTGTGTCTCACCTGGTTCATAGTCACGTCTGACAGACTCTTGGTGCTCGAGGCCCAGATTTTCTGTTGGCCAGAAGCGGCCCTAAAATCCTTCACTTTGTTCCAGCAATATTTGTGATGCCTGCACTTGGAGGTTGGTATATAGATATCTGAGGACCCCTGATATTCATGTGTTCTGATGGTAATTTTAAGTTTGGTCCGTTCCTCGCTGGTTGTAAATATACACTCAGTTGTAAATATACACTCAGTTATCTTCATTACACACTAGGATGCGAGACCATTATTCATAAGCTTACATTTTTTATCAGGACTTGTGCTTCACATGGGTTAGTAGGCCAATTGCACTCTGTTTATTGGGAAGTTCATGTTCAATACGTGATGTGTTCTCTGTAAGTGGTGCCAGTTTCTCACCGGCACTGTCAGACTCGCTGACGTCCAAGTGTTGTTAACGTGGCCTTCAGCCGTCGTCAGCCACCAGTCTTGGTGTAGATGGTGATGGTGATGCTGCTGCTGCTGCTGCTGCTGCAGCACCCGACACCAGTCTGAGCCACCTGACTCCCACCTCCCCCCCCCCTTCCTGGTACAATAAACAAACCTTCCATTTTTTTATTAAAACATTTAGGAACATGTGCAGCTGCCCTGACTATATGAACTTATGTACAGTGTGTGTCAAAAACTAGCTACGTGATGCTAAAAATCCCCATCACACAGGATGGTTAGTCATAGAGGCATGTGATTAATCTGCACTGGCAAACTCTGGGTGCATTATGAGGATATGAACATGAGAATGAATAAAGTAATTGCAAAGCTCCAGGTACCTCATGCCAACGGGTCTGAATGGTCTAATAACTGGGCATTCGGTGATGTAGTGTGGGAGATCATACCGCAGTTCCTGCTCACAGAGTTTGCACCTGGAGTGCTCAGGATTGAGAGATCCGTCACCTGTAGCCACCTGCCACAGGTAACGGAAACCCAACCTGATCCTGGCAACCACTGTGTCGCACAGTCTAGTGGACGTTTTGTGCTGCCCATAAACATAGGTTTCAGATCTTAACAGATCATAGCTTTTTATACTGGTAGTTGGGAGTCAGTAATTTCTTTCCTATTAGACCTGAATGTTTGGAACAATATAGTTTTAACAACAGAGATGGGGATACGTAAATCTAATTCAACTTCATCTTTGTTACACGCTAATTTGGCTGCAATGTCTGTGTCACTATGATGGGTTATATTTATGTGTGGTGGTATCCATACAAAGGAAATTCAAAACCCTTTACACTTTTAATTTTTCCCCAAGGGGCGAGTTTATTGGGGCAGCGCCACGCATCCTGTGAGCGATCAGGTCATTTATAATTGCTAGTCTGAGGTTCTTGCTGTCGATCTCCCAGAAGTTTTTAATTTCTTGAAGAGCAGACTTTGAATCACAAAATGTTATTACTCCTATGTTTTTTAATGTTCTGGTAGCTAGTTGTAGTGTCACTAGTCCTGCTTGTGTGGAGGTCAGCCCGTTGTTTAACCTGATACTGACAGTCTGTGTGCAAATATTATTTCTATAAAACCTACATACTGCTGCAGTCCGTCCAGTAGAAGATTGGACTGAGTCGTCGGTGTAGACACAGTGCTCGTGAGATCTTAAATTTTTGATGGAGGAGGAAATTGCTTCAAGAGTGACAGCTTTGAGAAGAGCAAGATTCTCATTATCTTTCATGGTGACAGGTGTGTGTGATACTTGAATGGTGGGGGACAGATAAAGGGGGATATCGGAGACAGGAAGATTGCACTTAAAAGTCTGTTCATTTGATGAGATTGTAGGCATTTTTACTCAGCCATTTTTTCATAAAAGGAGTGAGTCGGTATGTTGACACCAGTCAATCAGGTGTTAACAGCACTGAATAATTTGTCTCCGAGTAATGCAGGAGATGTAGGGTCTCTCGTGACTAAGGCAAAAGGTCGTGTTGACTTGCGTGATTCTCTCTAGTATGGTTGGAAGCTTCAGACATCACAGTCTCCCATGGTGACTCGCGCCCAAGTAATTAAAAAAAAGATACACACCCAAATTACAATAGCGTGATGCATCAAATGAACAAATCCACGAGGAATTTTGTCGTGGCCTGGTCGACTTAG